TTATTTTTAAAGAAAATTGGTACTTCCAACTTTTTCTCAAAATATATTTTTTTAAATTTTATTTTCAAGAAAAATTGATACTTTCAACTTTTTCTCAAAAGTATATTGTTTTGAAAATTTTTATTTTTTATTTTCAAGGAAAATTGATACTTTTAACTTTTCTTCAAAAATATTTTTTTTGAAAATTTTATTTTCAAGGAAAGTATTTAAAAATGCTTACTTAATAAGTAATTCCAATTTAATCAATAAATAAATAAGTAAAATTAATGATAATAATAATAAATAAATAAATAAATAAATGAAAAAATCTTCACGTGACTCGATTTAGCGGCTGAAACGGCTCAGCTTGAGGTATAAAAGCGACTAGAAGGCATGGCTCAAGCGGTTCAGCTTGGCTGAAGGTTTGGCTGGAACGCGAGTCAACTAAAAACGGGTTACGCTCGGGTCGGGTTGGACAAATAGAAACACGTGGATCCTGAAGGTCTCTTAATGCCCATAAACAATGTCTTTTGTGATAGTATAAAAGGCTGAATTCGATCTTTTTTCACAAGATTTCTCTTTTTACTTCTCTCTCTTTCCCTTCTTTTCACCCCTTATCTTTCTAAGATTTAAGAACATCGGCTGAATCCTTTACTAGATTCTGAGATTTTCAACGAAATTTGGGTAGGGTCAGCAAAATCTGGCCAGAAGTTCATTGATTTCTGAAAAATAGATGCCGAAAATTGGAAGCCTCACTGAAAACTTTGAATTTCGCCAGAAAAGTCGTTGGAAAATTCAAATCTCGTCAAAAAATTGCCCAAAATCTGAAAATTTTCCAGAAATTTCCCAAAAGAAAAATGCCAAAAATTTCAAAAAAATTTCCTAAAAATTTTAGAACTGCTTTTGCATTTCTAAACATTGTTTTTGCTTTTGTTTTCTCTCTATTTGCTTTTTGTATTTTCATGTATTCTCTGGCCTCACTTAGGGTCTCTATTTATAGGATTGAAAGCCAAAAAATCCCTATCCGAATAGGAATTTCAATTTTTGTTAAACTTCACCCTTAACCCTAGCTCAAACCCTACAACCCAATTCCAACCTAAATTCAACTTTTTTTTTTCATTTTTTAAAGCTTTTTTCATTTTTAATTATTTTTTATTAACAAAAATCAAACGTAGGCCCACAGACAGATTGGGGTGTCTACAGCTGTCCCTCGTTGCGTATTTTTTGTGAAACAGGAATTGTGCAAAGACGTAGATAATCCAATTAACTCAACACATTTTTGTATTTTTTTTGTTAAAAAAGTAAACAAAGTTTCTCTAAACAAAGGCTCAATGATAATAAATGCTCCTCTAAACAGAGGTACCACAACTTTGAAAAAAATAAATTGCTCCTCTAAACAAAGGCACCGTGACTTTAAAAAATAAAATGCTCCTCTAAACAGAGGCACCACGACTTTGAAAAAATAAATTACTCCTCTAAACAGAGGCACCACAACTTTTGAAAAAATAAATTGCTCATTGACAATCATGTCCAAATAAGTTATAACTCATGTCTAAAGGGATTTTAGGGGATTATGCTTGAAGGGCTTACAAATCATTCTTAATATTAAGGAATATCCTTTTTCAAGGATTAAAATCTTGCCTCATAAGTTTATTCTCAAATGAGAATTTGAAACTCTTTGATCGAAAAGTCTTCACATCTATCTTCTTCACGTAGGATCTTAGAACATCCCTACACCAAACTTTTTCAAATGCAATGTATGCTATGCACTAGACATTTAGAAGTGTAATGCATGCTATGTAAATGCTAGTTAATTAATTCTCATTCAATTGTAGTACCTAAGTTTCTAAAGCTTTTTTCTTGGGCCCCAAACCCCTCAATCTTCAAATACTAGGGCCAAATCAATGTAACTCTCAATCATTTCTCTCATTTAATTCTCATTTTTTCCTTTTCAAGAAATCTCTTTCCAAATTCAATGTCCTTATCAGGAACTGAACTTTTCAAATTTGCCTTTATCACTTTCAACCTTTCTAATGTAATGCAAAAATCTTTCATGCTATTATTCATTTATCAATCATTATTTCAATCTCAAAAAATAAGAATGCATTCAGACATTTCTTCCATTGTAAGGTATTGAAGAGAAAAGAGTAAGAATGGCTAAGACATAATCAACAGAAAAGACACACAAATAGTGAAATGAAATGTCTTTTATTAGCAAAAATGATGGTAAACTTTAGCCAATTGAAAAAGAAAGAATTACAAAAATGGGTATGGGGATAAAGTCCAAAAATAAAACAATTAGATAATCATGATAATACATCTTGAAATCTTTTTAAAAAACTCAACCATCCGATGCACTTAACAATTTAGAGCTCTTCATGACATATTAGCCTCATTGCCAATGAAATTCCAAATTCGATGTTGTATTCTCCTTATCTAAGTTGTTTTTTCAAGTTTTCAACTTAGATAAATCTCCTTTTGACTCAAACTGCTCTTTTTAAATTTTCGCCTTAAGTCTTCATTTTTTTATTTTTTTATTTTCATTTTTTTCTTTTTTTTCAAGTATAGTACTTCTTCACAGCATCAGAATTTATAAGATGAGGTAAATCATCTCCATCCATCTCGACTAATATTAATGCTCCACTTGAGAAAGCTCGTTTCACGACATATGACCCTTCCCAATTCGGAGTCCACATTTTTTTATTATCGTGCTGGCTTGGAAGAATTCTTTTCAAAATCAACTCACATTCTCGAAAACAACGAGGTCAAACCTTTTTATCATGAGCCATCATCATTCTTCTTTGATATAGCTGACCATAGCACAACGCTGTCAATCACTTTTCCTCAATGAGATTTAACTGTTCATAGTGCTCTCGAATCCATTCGGCCTCTTCCAGTTCAACTTCTTTCAGAACCCTCAAAGATGAGATCTTTATTTCCACTGGCAGTACAGCTTTCATCTCATAAATCAAAGAAAATGGAGTTGCCCCAATAAAGGTATGCACTAATGTTCGATATGTATATAGTTTAAATGGTTACTTCTCATGCCAGTCTTTATAGGTTTCGATCATTTTTTCAAGAATTCTTTTTATATTCTCGTTTGTTGCATTAACTGTCCTATTCATTTTCGGACGGTATGGTGCTGAATTATGGTGCTTGATCTTATACTGAGCACATACTTCTTGTATTATCTTACTATTCAGATTCTTGACATTATTTGAAATAATTCTCTTTAAAAGTCCATATTTGCAAATGATTTCTCTCTTTATAAATTTGCAAACTATAGATCGTGTCACATTTTCAAATGATGCTACTTCCACCCATTTCGTGAAGTAGCCTATCATCACAAAAATAAACGTATGCCCATTAAAAGCTTTTGGGATAATAGGACCAATGACATCCATGCCCCACATAAAAAATGGCCAGGGTGGTGCTAAAATATGTAAAATAGATGGTACAACATGAATCTTATCAACATAAATCTGGCATTTATGATATTTTCGAGCATAATCAATGCAATCACTCTCTATTGTCAACCAATAGTATCCTGTTCTAATGATCTATCTTGTCATCATATGTCCATTGGCATGTGCCCCACATATTCCATCATGCACCTCTTCAATAATTTTTTTTGCCTCGACCTTATTTACACACCTCAACAATACTTGATCATGGCTTCTTTTATAGAGAACATCTCCATCCAAAAAGAAACTCATAGCTAGTCTTCAGATGACCCTTTTATCATTCTCAGTTGCTTGGACTGGGTATTATTAGTTTTTAATGTACTGCAAAATATCATAATACCAGGGCTTCCCATCATTCTCCTCTTTTACATTAGAGCAATGAGCCGGCATGTCCTTGACATCTAACCTGATGGGCTGAATGTCAGCGCTATCATTAATTCAAACCATTGCTGCTAAAGTAACCAAGGTATTAGTAATCAAATTCTCCTCCTGAGGCAAATGATCAAATTGAATATCTTCAAACTGCTTGATCAACTCTAGAATATACTTGCGATATAAAATGAGTTTCGAATCTCTCGTTTCCTATTCTCTTTCAATTGATATATAACTAGAACTGAGTCTTCAAATACTTTTAATGCTTTAACATTTCTGTCTATAACAGCCTGTAAACTCATTACACATACCTTATATTTAACGATGTTATTTATGCAATTGAAATTCAGCTTCGCTATTATAAGATAATATTGTTCTTCTGAAGAAATCAAGATTGTCTCAATTTTATGTCCCAAGGCATTGGTAGCTCCGTTAGGAATTTTAATTTCTATTAAACTTCACCTTTAACCCTAGCTCAAACCCTACAACCCAATTGTAACCTAAATTCAACTTTTTTTTTGTTTTTTTTTTTATTTTTTTATTAACAAAAATCAAACATAGACTTTCAGATAGATTGAGATGTCTACATAGGATAAATTAATTTTTTATATCGCCAATTATTATACATTTAGGAGAAGATTGAGTATTTAGCATACAATAACAGGGAGGCATCAAGTTCAATTTCCATATTTTTTAAGATTTCATTGCAATTGAGCATTGAGTAAAAAAAATTAAAATTAAAAAAAAATTCATCCGAAGATAAAAAAATCCATCAAGTTCAACGAAACCAGACACTTCGCGGGGTCGTTGGGCACGCTCTCGCCGACTTACCAGTGCCATCATTTCTCTTTTCCCATAGGGTAGATTTCTTATACCCTCCATTTTTTCTTTTTAGATTATTGCTGTTTTTTGTTTTTTTTTTAAAAAAACCTCACCACAAAATTAGTGGGTATTTTTTTTTAAAACAGTGATAATTTTATTTTTATATAAAATAAATACAAATTATATATTGGACACGTACACTCTGACTCTTAAAGTGTCGCCTTTGTTTCGGCATCTGATTTTCTACACCAACCAGCGGCACCAACCATTCTCTACCAAACATGCCCTTATGTTCCACGGTGCAATGACCACAATATCCCCGAAAATTCATTAAAAATTCCCTAGAAATCGAATTAATAAATATCTCTTTTCTGATTACAACTGAACCGCCCGATTGTTCTCCGATGTGTGCTAAGATTGAATCCTGACCCTTAAATCACTTTGACCGCTGCACACCGGAATGTTCATATATATTTTTTTAAGAATAAGAAAAAGAAAAGAAAAGTGGTTCAAAGGGAATTTAATTCAGGACAGCGGAAGTCTTAGCTTAGCTTAGCTACGCCCCTGACCGCTTCTTCCCCTCTTCATTGTTGTCCATCTCCTTGCCGATTAATTCCCTCTAAAAAGAAACTAAGGTCCAAACTCTAATTTTTGTTTATATTATTGAGAACAGGTATGCTCTTCTTATCCGATTTGATTTTTCATCGATTAGCGTTTGGCTCCCACTTTGCTGCAGTTTTTTTTAAATTATTTCTGATTTAGGTTTCTCGATTTATTTCTAGGTTTGTATATATATAATTTCGTTTTTTTTTTTCTGAATCATTTGTTACTGATATAAGCATCTGATTTACTTTGTTAGAATAGATAATACTCATAGTTAGTATGTTAAACAAGCATTTTACACTAATCAGTGATCTAATTACACTGTAATATTTGTTTTCTGCTTCTTTGATTATATGAAACTGGGATTAGCTTTGCAATTAATGGAATCATTAACAAATATGTCGTTGTTTGGTGATTAGAGAAAATTAAAGTGAAAGAGGAAAGATGCTGGGAACAGTAAGGCAAAAGGTGAGTGCTGGAAACTCTCCTGCTCTCTCATATACCTATATTAAAGTTTAAGTAAATGTGAAGGCTTTTTTTTTTTGGTTTTTCGTAAGTTTATGACTTTTTTTTTTAAAATTTTTTATGCAGTTGTTGGGGCAGGCATTGCAGAAGATTCTGCCTGTTGGGTCGGTGTTGAGAAGTTACTCATCTGCAGCAAAACAGGTAACTTTTTTAACCTTTTTTTTTATCTAATCTTAGTGTAGCTCTACAATTGTTGTGGGTTTAATGTTATTGGTTATCAAATTGCTTACTGCAAGTGTTAACTCGTTCACAATGGAGTAGCTGTGTTTAATCTTAGGAGCTGCTCTGTAGTGTAGGTTACTTGCTTCAATTAACAAATTCTGAAGAAGAGTCTGCATCTCATATTTGCTTGCAGATGCAAAGACACACACGCACACAAATATGGTTATGCTTGTATTTGGGTGTGTTTGTATATAGTTTGCAATTACTTGTAGTTAATGTTAAATGGCTTTTGTTATTGTTAATCTCTGCTAAAGGCAAGGCTTAGCTCTCAAGGAATGTTGATTTTAGTTTTTTGTGTAATGACATGCACAGATGACAGTGAGAGAGGCATTGAACTCTGCTCTTGATGAGGAGATGTCGGCTGATCCAAAAGTCTTTTTGATGGGTGAAGAGGTGAGAAAATGTTAACAGGAACTATTTTTTTGTAATTCTAACCATATTGTTGGCTATTCTTTTTTTAGTCCCATTCTTATGGCTTTTGTTTTTTAAACTTATAAATGCAGGTTGGAGAATATCAGGGCGCATACAAGGTTAGCATTTCTTGGTCAAGAATAAAATTCTTATTTCACCATGTATGATAGAGGCCATAAAAGCATTGTTACATCTGTCTGAGGATTGGCTTTTATTTCCATCTTTTGTAGATATCCAAGGGGCTTTTGGAGAAGTATGGACCTGAGAGGGTTCTTGATACTCCAATTACTGAGGTTATTATATTCCTGCCATGCCTATGCTATTACTCTTTTATTCTTTTTGTGAATTTCATTATTATTGATCTAATGATTAATCTCACACGCTTATCTTATGTGTGTGTATTGATTCTTTTTAGTTTTTATTACATTTTTTTCTCACCACAGTTGTTTATTTCCTGTTTCACAGGCTGGTTTTACTGGGATTGGGGTTGGTGCAGCATACTATGGTCTGAAGCCTGTAGTAGAGTTCATGACATTTAATTTCTCCATGCAGGTTAGAGGATTCTGTTTTAATCTCTTCTTATGTACACTTTTATTAGTTGGTTGTGCTACCATATGTATAAAATTAAAAAATGACTTCTCAATGAATTGAAATGCATGTCATGGAAAAGAAAAAGGAGATAATATATTATCACATGCTTTCTGTTTTAAAGACAAGTGAAGTTAACAATGCTTTTGTAATATGCGGTTGAAATCCTTAGAAGTTTGTATGCATGAAGTATGCATGTTTTGGCTTGAAGCCTGACATACGGAAGAAACATGAGTGATTTATGTGTTCAACCTGTATTTTTGTAAGAAGATACTGGCTGAATAACAAAGGATAAGATAAATTATTGTATCGTTATCTCGATCTTCTCTTTGTATTTTGACAAGACCTAAATACATTTGGTTGTAGATTATTACTGAAAAGTAAAGGACAGAGAATGGTATTTATATTGTGTTGTCAGAGTTGGTTATCCTGTTATCAGTAGTTGGTCCTTATCTTTTGTGGTTCTGGTTAAAGGCGCCAAATCATTTTGTTGGAAAGCAAGTTTGTTTAGTAATAATTGATTCTCAGTTTTTTGTTTCATATATATATATATATTTGTGAATTATGTATTTGGCTAATCATCAAAGAACTAGTGGTAAGACAAGCAAATATATGGCGCTGCAGAAGATTTTTCGGGAAAACCTTCCAAGGAGATGCATTTTGCCAAAATATGGAACCGTTGGACTTCTTGTGGTAGCCATCTTGCTGTGAAAGGTGTCCTAGCTTTTGAAATCATGATTGATTTCCCTCCTGCTCACATCTTACAATCAGATGCTCAAAAGAGCAAGTGATTTGGATGTCCTTTTAGACTGTTTCAGCATTGTATGTGCTTGGACATAAACATTGGTGTTTTCCTCAAGATCTAGATTTAGTCATTGAACGCCAGAATTTCACAAATTTAAAGCTACATTAATGAAAAAGAAATATTGGTTTTTTTAATGGTAGTAAATAAGATAAATGGCTTTGCTTACTCTTAAATGTGTTTTTATCATATTTTTATTCTGATGCAAAATTTTCTTTGATCTGTTTCTGGCTTTTATTGTAGGCAATTGACCATATTATTAACTCTGCTGCAAAGTCAAACTACATGTCTGCTGGCCAGATGTCTGTACCTATTGTTTTTAGAGGACCTAATGGTGCTGCTGCTGGTGTTGGTGCCCAACACTCTCAGGTATGGTTTCTCCTAACTGTTACTTGTCCCGATTATTTGGTTTGTTTACATACATCCACTCTCCTCTGTTCCCCTGAGCTTACTGAGGTTGAAAATTGATTTATTATGTACTGTGTTGTGATTACTGTTTAATTATTTCCATTTTTTAAGAGGTCTAGCTGAGTTTCAATATGGTAAGAGGCTTGTTTGATTATTTTGTCTTCTGTATTATTATCCAGTGTTATGCAGCATGGTATGCTTCTTGTCCTGGGTTGAAAGTGCTGTCACCATACAATTCTGAAGATGCTCGTGGACTGCTCAAAGCTGCTATTAGAGATCCAGACCCAGTTGTTTTCCTTGAAAATGAGTTGCTGTAAGTGAATTGGTAAAATGTGATTCTTATGTTTTGAGCGCCCACTCCTTTGGTCGCCCTTCAATTACAATTTTAATGTCTAGTGTTGCTCTGATATAATCTTTCTGCTTCAGATATGGTGAATCATTCCCTGTTTCTGATGAAGTTCTTGATTCCAGTTTTTGCCTTCCAATTGGAAAAGCTAAGGTAATGCTGTGATGCCCTTGAAATTTTACTCACAAGACTATTATTGTTACTATTATTGATGTTTCCGCAGCCAGTAATTCTGCTGTAGCTCATATCTCACGAAGCTACATTTTAGTGGCTTTTAAATTTACTTTTCGACTGTCTACTTTAACAGATAGAGAGAGAAGGAAAGGACGTGAGTATTACAGCTTTTTCAAAAATGGTGGGCCATGCTCTTAAGGTATGTCTTGTATGCAATATCTGTTTGGATATGCCCATGCCTAATTTTCATTTGAGATAGATTGTAAATACATTTGCTTAAGATTCTACAGATGAGAGATAAAGGAGTAATCTAAAGTAGAACTAATGTTGTGAAAAAAGATTGATTTATAATTAATGGCCACGGACAGTACCAAGTAGTTTGAACTTGATGCGTGATGGTTTTCATTGCTGATAGTGACTTAGGTGGATGCTTCATCTGTCATGTGTACCGCAGGCTCCTGTGTTTTATTTAGATTATCTTTTAATCTGTGGGTTCAAGAATTGCCTAAGATATGGTGTGGCTTAGGTTTAAATATGAGTGCAAATGTTAGGATTAGAGCTTAGTGCACTTGTTAATTGGACATCCAGTATCATATTGGGAATGCTTAGTTCTCTTTTATGGATTTCTTTCTTGTTAGCTTGTTTGTAATTTCCTGAAATTTAATTATATAGCACTAATATGTTAGCTTGTGGAGTTATTAACTAAGAGACTGTTTGTTGTTCAGGCTGCTGAGATACTTGAAAAGGATGGAATTGATGCTGAGGTAAGTTATAAAACAAAGAAGTGCAAGTCCTTACGAGTTGATTTGATCATTCCGCTAAGATGTGCAATGACTGATATTTATTAAATACAGGTTATAAATTTGCGTTCCATTAGGCCGTTAGATAGATCGACAATTAACGCCTCAGTCAGGAAAACTAACAGACTAATAACAGTTGAAGAAGCATTTCCACAGCATGGTGTTGGTGCTGAAATCTGGTTCGAGTTCTTTTCTCTTTAGCCATTTAGTTTCTTCTTACCAAATATTCTGGCACTTTGTATATTTACTCCATATTTCTTTCATAGTGCATCTGTTGTGGAGGAGAGTTTTGCTTATCTGGATGCACCGGTTCAGAGAATTGCTGGAGCTGATGTTCCCATGCCATATGCAGCAAACCTTGAGAGAATGGCTGTGCCACAAGTGATTCCATTTTTTCCCTATTCTTATATTTTAATTAGTTTTAAAAGCTTCTGGTGAAGTGAGGCATCTGACAACTAGGGTCCTCCTTTAATCCATTCCCCTTCTCCTCCTTTATCTTAATACATCCTTTTGTCAAACCAGTTAGTCTGATGGCTGCATGGATGTTATGTTTGTACAATTATCATTATATAGACCATCAGTTAATTTTCTTCATTTATGAATTCTGCAGGTTGAAGATATTGTCCGTGCTGCAAAGAGAGCATGCTACAGATCTGTACCAATGGCTGCTGCTGCATAATTGAACCAATCCAGGTGGGAAACTTTTCCTAATACAGGCTAGTGTCAATATTGACCATTTGCATCATCTTTTTTGAAGTTGTGTTGCTGAGTTGTAGTGATTTTTTAACTCTATTTATTGTCAATTATTAACATAACCAATGAATTTTTTTCAGGAATTACAGGAAACGATTTATAACACTTTTGGGGTGGAGCTGCTTTATTTAATAACTGGGACATTGTTAGAAATGGCTGAAAATTGTGACTTTATTTGTCATGTGAACATAGCCTGTTCAAACCTGGGACGCCAAGATTTATGTTTTTTTCTATTATGTGGTGCACACCCTCTGGAAAGGGATCTGCTACTGTTTCTGAGCTTGTGTTTTAATCTCATTTTTGTTGAGTTTAATGGACTTTGAATGCGCTGATTCGATGTTTTTGAATAACTACATAGTCGGAGAAAGAAATGAAAGATGGCCTAATGGTCATCTTTTCTTAAAAGAATGACAATCGGCCAGCTGGTGAGGGTTGAAAATCGATTCTCCTCTAACCTGTTACCATCGTCAGCTGTAATCTAAAATATTTATTGCATTTCTTAATTAAATGAAATATGTGAAAAAGTTGTGTTAGATGGTTAATTACAGCAGGTATGGTTCAACCTCAAAGGCTCCAAGTCTCGTTCATTGAATTGGAAAGTGACCCTTCACTACTTTTCGCAACCAGTCTTTATTTTTTTTAATATGTTTTTATTCTTTTGGGCACAACTCTTTCTTATATTTTGTCATAAGATTGAAAAAATCTTCAAATAAAAATTTAATAATTATTCAAGTTCATGACTTGACCCGTCAACTGGGTAGCTATTGGATTTAGCATAGCTAATTCATTTTGGTTGATTTTGGACTTAAAAAAAAATGGAATTAATTTTGGATTGAGTCATATCGATTTTGGATTATTTTAGATTTTAGTCATTTAGAATTTGAGTAATCTTTGGTTTAGATTAACATGATTTTTGGTCATTTCAGTTTGGGTATTTTGAGTTTGATACTTGAATTATTTAGATTTAGATCATTTGCATTTGATTATTTTAAGTTCAATTTATTAATTTTTAAAATCACATTAGATTAAATTAAAATAAATTATTTAATCGAGTTTGAGTCAAATTTTATTATAATTTTATTAAAAGATAAAAAATAAAAAAATAATATTTTAAAAAATATAAATATTGTAATTTGTATGTTTTAAATTAATGTCTATATAAATGAAGTTAGACGCGGCAAATTTAAATACCACATGATGACAATATATCGAAATGATATGCGAAAAATTATATGGATTTTAAAAAAATGTGTTTCACATTTAACTATGTTGATACAAATTTTGACACGCATAAAATATAAAAAAATTATTTAAAGAGCATTTGATTCAAAGGAATTTAAGATTTTACCTTGGAATCTAGCTTGTGGGAATGTGATTCTCACGTTTGATTCATGAATATTTGATTTTTGGGATAATTTGATTCTTAATAGTATCCAAAAGTTTTAAAATTTAAAACCTATTTCTCCCTATGATTTTTTAAGATTTTGAAAGAAAAGTTATTTTTGTCTTATATTTGATCTGAATAAAAATATTTTCATTTTATTTATCCTTTTAAAAATTAACCTATGAAAAAAAATTTAATTTTTATTTTTTATTTATAAACGTAATATTAAAAACAAATAGCATAAATACTGTGTTAGTTGAAAGTTTTAACATAGCATTTGGGTACTCTTTTTTTAAAATGTCAAATATGATGTTTTTAAGGAAATAAATGCAATAATTGTATATATTTTTTGGATTTTTTTAATACAACGACGATGTTTTTGATGAATAAAACGCATTATTTGATTTTTTTTATTTTCTCACTCGAATATTGCTTTTAAATGCTTTCAAACGTAGTAATTATGATTATTTGTTGCATTTATTTAAATAGAAACATAGTATTCAAGTATTTTTTTTTCTAATTTTTCATTTAAATACTACGTTTTGAGGCTGTGAAACTTAATAATAGTGTTTTGTCATTTTGGGGTTAATATTGTATTTTTAACATAACAAACATTGTTTTGCTAATAAAATAAAAGCCTATTTTTTTAATAACAAATATGGCATTTCATTGGGTAGAAACGTTAGATTTGAATCTACAACAATAGTGATTTTGATATAAAAAACATTGTATTTGTTAAATAATTTTTTTGAATGACAAAGACTACTTTTTTTCCTTTAGATAACATTGCAGAGCTTAATCAAAGCCTTTTTTTTTTTGTTTCAACCAACATTAGCTTTAACTTTCATGATTTCATCTTCGTGTTGTTCATTAAATCTTCTATTTATTAATAAATGATGAGTTTACTATCTGTTAAATCATGATCTATTCTGCATTATTTATTTGGTTCAAATATCTTCTTGTTTCATTTGTTTAGATCTTAATTGAAAAGTTGTTGATCTATCATATATTTTCTTGATTTTGATTTTTGTTCTTGATCCATAAATGTTTTGTTATTGGTTTTGTTTTTTGTTGGATGTGTTTGAGATTCCATAAACCAAATGTACATATTTGCTTTTGACGCATGTTTTTAACATTAATAAATTTTTTTTATCAAAACAGTTATAACTCATTTATCAATAAGAAAGAAAATGCAATTAGTAATAGTGTTTATTTTGCAATTGAACCAGATGGAGACTATGTTTCAACTGTTACTTATTGTTGTTGTGACATTAGCTGCAATAAAACTTAAAAAAAGATGTAGACTATCTTATGTTCATAACACTCATGATAGGCTTCATATTAAGGAGTTGAACTTAAACAAAATAGGTTTTGAGAGTGATAGATAGAGTGTAGATAATTGTAGAATTGATAGGAGAGTTTTTGTAAAATTATGTCAATTGCTACAAACACAAGGGGATTAAAGGCATCTAGACATATGTCAATAGAAACAATGGTTATTAGCTTCCTCCACATTATTGACCATTATAATTATTGCCCATCATACAAAAAATAAGGTTATGAAGTGTCAAGTAGCCAGATCTAGAGAGATAATTAGTAGACAATTTCTTACTATGTTGAATTTTGTTTTAAGGTTGCATTTCTTGTTGTTTAAAAAAACCAAAATCGATATAAAAAAATTTAACAAATGATAAATAACAATAATTCAAGGATTGTTTAGATGCCTTGGATAGAACATACATAAAGGTAGATGTAGACTCAATTGACAAGCCTGAATATAGGATTAGGAAAAATAAAATTACCATCAATGTCCTTGGTTTTTGTACACCAAACATGCAATTCATATATGTGCTACCAGAATGGAAAGGTTCAGCAACAGATGGTAAAGTGTTTAAGAATGCTATTATTTGTAGAAATGGTTTAAGATCCCACAAGGTATTAGCTTAATATTTTGGATTTAGTTTTCCATAAAACACATTTTTTTTTATATGTATTGATATTGTGACACTAGAATAGGTGTTTATTATTTGTGTGATGCTGGATGTACAAATGGGAAAGGTTTTTTGGTACCTTATAAAGGTCAAAGATATCACTTGAATGATTGTAGGCCAGGACACCCACTGATGACACCTTAAGAATACTTCAATATATGAAACACTTTCAAGTAAAAAATTTTATTGAGAGATGTTTTGGTATATTGAAAGCTAGATAGACAATTTTAAGGGAGAAGTAATTTTATCTAATAAAAACATAATGTAGAATCATTTTTGCTTGCTGCCTTATTTATAATTTTATTAGGTCTAAAATGGTAATTAACTCTATTGAAGATAAGGTTGTTGAATTGAGTAATAGCCAACCAAATGTATCTAAGCATTAAGATTTATTAGGTCAAGTGATGCTTAGATTGGGTTTAGAGATAACCTGATACACGAAATGTTCATGAATTGGTTGCAATCCCATGGTTAAGGACGTTGGTTTTTTTTCTTTCCTTTTTAATTGGTTACATTGATGTTTGTATGATATAGTTAAGTGTACAATTTATTTTCTATTTTTTTTATATATATTTTATTTTTTTTTATGAGTTTATGATGTATTTCACTATTATTTGCAATAATATTTATTTTGTTTCCATGTCTATTGGTTTACTTTTTACACTAATTATATGTTTATCTTTATTGATTTTTTATTTTATATGTATTTTGTTGCATAATATCTAACTATATGATCAGGATATCAAAATGTTTTTATCTACTGCTAAGTAAGAAATACATTAAGAAGAAGAAAAAAAAGCTTATCAATAGGTAATCACACATGGACAAAGGATGAGGATGCAATACATGTCTAATGCCTATATATGTTGGCAGACAGATGATCCTAAATGAAGAGCCGATAATGGAACATTTAGAATTAGCTATCTAGGACATTTAGAAATGATATTGAAGTCAAGAATTTCCTAAGCCTAGCTTAAAGCAAACCCACACATCGAATCCAGGATAAAGCTACTCAAAAGACAATATCATGCTATATGTGATATGATTAAACAAACAAGTGGTTTTGACTAGAACAATTATGACAAATACGTTATTGCTGAGAAGGTTGTTTTTTATGAGTGGGTTTTGGTAACTAGTTTAACATGAACTTAAAAGTTACTTTGATTATTGATTTCTTATCAAAATATTTTATACGTATTTATTTTAACCTTTGTGTAAACTCATCCCATGCTAGAAGGTCGAAGAACAAACTTTTCTCTTACTTTGATGACTTTGTGATAATATTTAGATAGGACAAAACAATTGGTGAAAGACCTGAAATAGTAGTTAATGCAATTGAATCATTTTTGTAAAAAACGAGGATGTTGACTTTGGCTATCATGAGAATGAGCCCAACACTAATCATGAAGGGGAAAGATTAGAGGATGAAAAAGTTAAAGGTTCAACTTGTATGACAACTCCAACCACAACTAGAACATTATTAGGCAAGAAGCGTTCTAGGAGCAACGGTGGATTAATTGATTTGGTTGACCAAATAGGAAATATTTTTGCTGCATATTGTGAGGCAGCAAGCAAAATCAAGGGCATTTCATTTTTCTTGAAGAAAGAAATCGAGAGTAGTGATAGGAGAATGTTGCTTTTCAATGAAATAATGAAACTAGATGGTTTCTCTCGAATGAAATGCTTTCTGTTAGTGAGTATATCTCGATGGATACTTACAAAATTGATTTCTTTTTTACACTGCCTCATGAATTTAGAAATGATTACATACAAAAGCAGTTGCATAAATGTAATGCCTATTGATCATCATTTGATTTTCCTTCTCTAGGATTCATGTGGATGATTTGTATTCTTGACAAGAATTATAATGTTTTGTAATGTGGAGACATATTTTCAATAAGGTAGATAGCTTTAATATTATAATTATAAATTGTAAAGGATCATATCAGTTTATAATTATAATTACATTGGCTTT